ATGGACTGTTCACATTCTGGTTCCCCGAGGCAGAGGGGTAAGGCCTGAGACCAACTCACCATGAGCCCAGAGGGTCTAGAACCCATCAGATGCTCAGAATAAAAAAAAAAAAAAAAAAAAAAAAAGAGGGTGAACAAGCTGGAATCCAAAGCCAGGCAGTTCCATGCTATAGTCCCCACTGTTTTACTTAGAAAAAGAAATGTAAGTTGAGGCTATGTGTAGTTTGTCCACTTATGGGCACACTGACACTTTTGACAGGAATATGTTAAAAATTCTGAGTGTGCAGAAAGTCAATCAACCTGGTCTTCAGTTGTGTGTACTTGAGGTAGGTTTCAAATCTCCCAGTATGCATAAACCCAACGAAAGTCAATGAAGGGAGTCAAAGTGTGCACTTCCTGGGCACAAATACATTGAATTAAGTACAGAGATTTCTCCTCTGGACAGGCTTCCACACCAGGTAGGTCAGTCACATGATGTGGCTAATGAGAGAGGACCACCCAGGCTTTCAGACTGCAGAACATGGTTTCTATGGAAGAATGGGGAATACAGCATGGTGGACCAATTCTACAGCCAGCCTGAGACCTTGAGCTACAAACCTAAAACTTGATCTCTCACTTTTCTATCTACGTAATGGGGTTAATCACACCTGTGTTTCACATGACAGTCTCATACACTATCAAAACAACTTTTACATCCAGTGGAAATTAGAGAATACACTGAATAAGTAAATCACACGTACAAACTGGTATTTGGTGTATCTTGTGCTTCTGCACAGAAAATGAAACTAAGTGAGGTGACAACAGTGGAATATACTATAAAGCAAATGTACTTCACAGGGCCTGGTTTTCCAAATCCTTGTAGTTTCAAATATTGATCTTGCAGAGGACTGGAAATTTTCCTCAGGCTATAAAGTCTAATGTGTAAGATAAAGATTTGTGGCACAGCAAGGTTGCTGGCTCAAGGACAGACCAGTTACTGGTTGTTATATAAAGGTTCTGGAAAATTGTGGAGGGAGAAGGAATGTTTACTAAGTTCAAGCTTTTGTTGATAGGGCCACTTAATTGTCTAATGGAATGTCATCTGACTTGTTTCACTGAAAGTTACCAGCCTATATTGTTAAACTATAACTCCACCTATGTTCTCTTCCTGTAACTTCCTGGTCTGGAAAATAAATGCAGGAAGAGAACCACAATTCAGGTTTAATTTCCTAAGGAAGGGATGCCTCTCGCTGGAGGGTCCCAGGAAGATTAACCACATAGGGGTCTTCTCACTGCTCAGAAGAGATGGGCTTTGAGTAATCCTTTGCATCTCTGTCAGGGGAAGAGGGGTTGTCAGGCCTTAAAAACTAACGCCACCTTAAGTGACATTACAAGCAGCGCCATTATGGGCCCACAAGGGCATATTAATGTGGCAGCCTAAGATGGCACCGGGAGGAAGTAGGGTGGGGGTGTCTGTGGGAACCTTGCCTAAGCCCTTATTGGCCAAATACACACTTCCGTGCTCAAGGTTGTAATAGCTAGGCATTGAGACAGGATGCATGCTCTCTTGACCTTTAAGCTGATAAGATTAGGTTAAAACCTCCCCTTCCTATCTGCCTATAAAAGCCAGTGCTTGTGTGCTAATAAAAGGAACTGCTGCTTGACAGAACCCCCGCCGCATCTGAGTGTCCTTTAACTGGGCTGGGGGGCCAGCTGTGTGCTCACCTCTCTTCAAGGCTCTCTTCCCCTGTCTCCTTCTAAAGGGGACTAGAGGGAAAGAGGAATCCGGGCCGTTCGCTCGCTCACCAGAAGGAATGAGGCTAGGGCTGTTCGGGTCGGCCGCCGGTGGCAGACGCGACAAGGGGTGACAAATCCAAGGGGGGTGAAGCAACAACCACAGACTCAGAGTAAATATCTGCAAACTGTATGTCTGATAAATGGTCAATATCCAAAACATATAAAAGACTCAAAGTACCCAAGAACAAAAAAACAAATGGCCCTATTCAAAAAATGAGCAAAGAACCTGGATAGACACTTCTCAAAAGAAGACATGAAATGGCCAATAGAAGAAAAAAGTCCTCAACTTCGCTAATCCTGAGAAATGCAATTTAAAAACCATGAGAACACTTCACACCTGTTAGAATTGCTACTGTCAGAAAGATGAAAGGAAACTGTTCACCAGCATGTGAAGAAAAGAGAACAGTTGTACACTGTAGGTGGGAGTGTAAGTTAGATCATTTTGCAAAGTAGCATAAATTTTTCTCAAAGTGCTAAAAATAAATCTACCATAAATCTAAAAACTCCACTTCTGAGTATATATTCAAATGAATTGAAATCAGTCTGTCAGAGATGTCACTATTCCAATGTTCACTGCACCGTTATTAACAACAGGCAATGTATCAAAACTATAGAAATGCAGATCTATGGGCAAGTACAACCATGCACAAGGCAATACACAGTGGAACTGGGATTTACTCTGTTGCCCCTCTTAGTGGCAAGATACAAACATAGCACTCCATCACTGCAGATATAAACAAGACATCCTGAAGTACAGAGTATGTGCTACACACAATCATATTATGTAGTCCCACTTAAAAACATGAGGAATAGGAATAAAGGATACATCTTCCTTTCAGACACTACTTCACACTAAATAGAATACAATAGATACTACTGTTTATAGCAGTTTAAATGATTGCATATTTAACCTCTTAACAGTTATGTGCCTAATCTGTGCATTCTCATGGAAGTATTTCTATTCAACCCACTGACTGGCTCTGTGTTAGCTTCAAACATGAGAAAAAATTACATTTACCTAAGAGAGGGTTTTGTAATAAAGGCCACACAAATTTGCTTCCAATAGGAGAGGAGGAAGAAAGAAAGAAGCATAATACTTTAGACAATAAAATTAATAAAATATAAAGTGGCATTTAATGTCCAAAATTCTGAGGTAAGTCTTCCTGTCAAGATGGCAGAATAGACACCCCCCAGTGTCATTTTGTCCAACAAATCAACAAATTTACAACCATTAAAAAATGACAGCCAATCTGAGGCTGCGAGAGCTCAGGGGAAGAGGAGAGACCCATGGAGTTCATGAAGACAGGAGAAGCCACAATGAGAGAAAGGATCACTCCCATTTTGAGCCCCAGCCACTTTAAGGCTGGAGCTGGTGAACCCATGGAGAAAGATGTCAAAAGCCACAGCTGTGCCTTTTGTGAGAAGTTGCTTGTAAGTGGCAGAGAAGAGGGTCTTAGTAGCCCCCAGGACAGCAAGTCCACTAACAGAATTTTTGTTGACCCATATAGGAGTGAGGAGCCAGAGAACAGAACAAAGTAACACTGAGAAGCTGGTGAGTCATGACAAGGGACCACTGCATGGCCTGTCCTATGGGAAGTGTTTGGAGTGTGGGCGGTTGGGGAGATGGGCTCAACAGAGGAACACTGCTGCAAAGCATAGACAGCCGATCTGCTCTCCAATCAGCATAGGATCACCCAGTGTAGTCTGGTCAGAAGTATAGAATTGCTGGGGTTGCAGTTTACTGAAAAGACTCCAGCCTAGACCAGAGTTTTCACACAACCCAGGTGTACCAGACCTCATGAGACCAAGAGTATAAAGATTAAGTACAACTTATAACACAGAATAGGTAATAAACAAAATTCTGATGCAAGTCACACTATTATCCTATGTGCAAATATTTCCTATCTGTAGTTGTGCTGGCTTGTGTCAAGATAAATTTTTACAAATAATACTTATATGCATAATGCAGCATACTTGAGGCTGTTTTGTGCATTGTAGGCTGTGTAGCAGCATCTCTGGCTTTTTTCGACTAGACCTTCTAACTTCCAGTTATGACAGCGAAAATGTCTTCAGACATAGCAAATGTCCCATGGTAGGCAATATCACCACTCATATTTAACTGCTGGTTAGATAGTCAAGACGTTTAAAAATAGTTTTGATCCTACGTTTATCAATTCTATTTGAAAACTGGCTTTCACATTAAATAAACTGATAGTTTTCATCTCAAATTATCTTATATAAGAATGAAAGTCATGTTGAAAGCTTTGACACATTAAAGGTATTGATGAAGATAAACTTATTGTCACTGTTCAATGATAAGTCCCTGCCTGGTAAGGTGTTCCATATTTATTGCACTGTTTCTCTCCATAAGCAGACTTGGGTGCAAAAGGTGACAACACAGGGTCCTCTCCTATGTGAATATTCTCATATTCAAGAACTGGTAACTTCTCTCAGAAAGTTCATAAAGTCAGCACAGCGTGCTAACTTGTGTTGTAACACAAAGAGATCACATATGAAATGGCAAACCACAGTAAGCATTTCGTAAACAAAGTACGAATAGAGGATGTGTGGATAGAGTTGGAAAGAACTATGGTTTCTTCAATTCAGTCTGTCTTAAGTTATGGTGGATTTCTCCCACCTATGGCCCCCAACTCCACCCTAGGAGTCATATGCTCTTCAGTCCCAGAGAACAAGAGTATTCAGAGACAAATGCATGAACTTTTTTTTTTTTTTTTAACTGCCTGGCCTGGAAGTTGCCTGGAAGTAATGTTTATCACCTGTATCCATACTCCCCTGAACAAAACTAAATTACATGGTTCCACACACAATAGCTAACGGCTGAGATTGCAGGCATGTGTACAAGAGAAAAAAGTTGTATTTTAGAAAATACATACCCAGGTCTAATCCACAGAGAATTTCCCACCATGTATATTATCTCATGACTGCTGCAGTGAGTTCTTTTTACTTTTCCTTCATTCTGTCTCTCTCTTTTTTTTTTTTTTTCAGTGGCTGGTCAGTACAGGGATCCATAGTGTTATCAGCATGATGCTCTAACCAACAATACACTAACAATAGCCATCCCTGTAACTGCTGAAAAAAGATGTTTTCACAATTATTGACCTCCTTCTATATCTGAGGGTTGCACATCTGATTCAAACACTTATAAAAATTGTTAAAAACCAAAAGAAAAAAGTATAATACAAAAGCAACACAGTACAGCAACTATTTACAAAGAACCCCTTCTGTATTCAGTAATATATATATAAATATTCTACTCAAGATGAAAACGACACAGAAAAAAGTTCATAGGTAATATTGAAACAGTACACCATTTATAGAAAGTGCTTCATTATTTGCAAGTGTTTTCATCAACAGGGGCTCCTGGAACCAAGGGACAGTTGTGCATTTATAGAGCTTCTTCTTGGTGTAAGTTCACTGATGAAATATGAGGAGTGATTTATGGCAAAACCTTTTATAACAGCCATTACATTAATTGGGATTTTCCCATGTGTGAATTTGTTGATGTCTGTTATGGTGAGATCCAGTAAACTTTTTCCACATTCCTTACATTCTCATGATTTCTCACCTATGTGAATTCTCTGATGGCTGCTAAGGTATGACTTTTGGCTAAAAGTTTTTCGGCAGTGTTTACATTCATATAGTTTCTCACCTGTGATGAATTCATCATCTCTGATGAACGCTGAAGTTTGACTTTTGGCTAAAAGCTTTTCCAGTACTTATATTCTAAAGTTTCTCACCTGTATGATTTCTTTGATGAATGCTGAGGGTTGACTTGTAACTAGAAGCTTTTCCAGTCTTTACATTCATATGGTTTCTCACCTGTGATTTCTCTGATGAATGCTGAGGACTGACTTGTAATCAAAATCTTTTCCACATTCTTTTCATTCAGATGGTTTCTCACCTGTGTGAGTTCTCTCATGCTTGCAGAGGCTTGACTTTCTGCTAAAAGCTTTCCGACATTCTTTACATTTATAAGGTTTCTCAACTGTGTGAATTATCTGATGACAGTGGAGGCATGATTTTTTGCTAAAAGCTTTCCCAGTCTTTACATTCATATGGTTTCTCACCTGTTTCAGTTCTCTGATGACTGCTGAGGTTTGACATTTTGCTAAAAGCTTTCCCACGTCCTTTACATTCACACGGCTTCTCACCTCTGTGAATTCTCAGGCCTGCTGAAAAATGACATTTGGTTAAAAGCTTCTCCACTTTCTTTACATTCATATGGTTTCTCACCTGTGACTTCTCTCATGCCTGCAGAGCTCTGACTTTTTACTAAAAGGTTTTCCACAATCTTTACATTCATATGGCTTCTCACCAGTGTGAATTCTATGATGAATGCTGAAGTATGACTTTTGGATAAAAGCTTTTCCACAGTATTTACATTAATATGGTTTCTCACCTGTGTGATTTCTCTGATGAATGCTGAGGGTTGACTTATGGCTAAAAGCTCTTCCACATTCTTTACACTCATGTGGTTTCTCACTTGTGTGATTTCTCTGATGAATGCTGAGGATTGACTTGTAACTAAAAGCTTTCCCACATTCCTTACATTCATATGGTTTCTCACCTATGTGATTTCTCTGATGAATGCTGAGGTTTGCCTTTAGATTAAAAGCTTTTCCACATTCTTTACATTCATATGGTTTCTCACCTATGTGGTTTGTCTGATGAATGCTGAGGGTTGACTTTTCACTAAAAGCTTTTCCACATTCATTACATTCATATGGTTTCTCACCTGTGTGAGTTCTCTGATGAATGTTGAGGTTAGACTTTAGGCTAAAAGGTTTTCCACATTCTTTACATTCATATGGTTTCTCACCTGTGTGCGTTCTCTGATGACTGCTGAGGTATGACTTTTGGCTAAAAGCTTTTCCACAATCTTTACATTCATAAGGTTTCTCACCTGTGTGAGTTCTCTCATGCCTTCTGAGTTGTGAATTTTCACTAAAACCTTTACCACATTCTTTGCATGCATATGGTTTCTCACCTGTGTGAGTTCTCTCATGCCTTCTGAGGTTTGATGTTCTGCTAAAAGCTTTTCCACATTCTTTACATTCATGTGGTTTCTCACCTGTGTGAGTTCTCTCATGCCTTCTGAGGTGTAACTTTTTTCTAAAAGCTTTTCCACATTCTTTACATTCATGTGGTTTCTCACCTTTGTGAGTTCTCTGATATAAAATGTGGGTCTCTCCTGTGTGCATAATCTGATCTTTAGTCAGTTCAGATTTTTTATAGAACACCTCCCCACATATACCAGATTGAAAAGTTTTCCTTTCTACCTGATTTATTTCTTGGGCAAAGACAGCTGACTTACCACAGGCTTTCCCATATTCATTATATTTATAGGTGGTCTCATTCATATTAATCTTCTTAAGTGTAAATATCATCGGTTCTGTGTTGGAAAATTTCCCTTTTGCACAATATTCTAAAGGCTGTTGCACAGTTTGAATATTGGGATGCTGACTAAGATGTTCATGATGTCTGGGCAATTTTCCAGTAGTATGATGGTCATCAGGTTTCTCTACGGCAGGCATCTCATCGGGCTCTCTACGAAGAAGTGTATTCTGACATATGTAAAACTCCTCATTTCCCTTTTCTGAATACTTTCCGTTATTTATAATCAGATTTAAAACATGACATGAATTCAAATAAAATGATTTTCCTAACACAACACTCTCCTCAGCTGATGAGTTGCTGTTGGTGATTACAATTTGCTGCAAGCATCTACCATGACTTTCTTGGTTCCTCTCCCCTAAGTCATCTATCTGGACATCTGAAATGACAAAAAAAAAAACTCTCTATGAACCACACAGAATCACATCTCATTGATTGCTCATGTAAACACAGAAGTGCCTTTCAATCCTAATAACAAAAGATTTTATAAAAAAAAAATATTGAATATTGGTTTCATGAGTTCATGGAATTTCTTCTTACTGACAATGTAATATTATACTAATATGTTTTCTAATGTTATATCATGTTTTTCTTTACTTCTTTGTTAACCTGTAAATTTTAATTTATGAGTAATTAAGTATTTTTATTTTCTGCCTTCTTGTAGTTTTCAACCAACCACCTTTCATTTCTTTACACCATTTACTTTGTTTTATTTTTACAACAATGTGTATCTCCTGCTGCTATTTTCTCATTATTTCACTATGAAGATGGCTAGGTTTTCCTTCATCAGCTACTATCAGGTACAGAAGTGAGCCAATTTTTTATCACATATACAAGACCTTGGCTGAGGATAAGGATTTTGCATTTATGTTTATATGCTTTAAACTCCTCCCTTAGAAAATGGCTATAGGGATGTGGAAGTTTTTCAAAAAATAAAACATCCTTTTCTCCACCATAGATAAAGATACCTTCCTCCAAGCTTTTCATTTAACTTGACTTCCTGTTTCACATAAACCATTACAATAAAGGAAACGTCAGTTCTTCACCCTAGACATCCACTTCTGTTCTAAAATATTTGGTTCTGCATCCAAGGCTGTTCTTACCATCTTTGAAATATGTTCTTTTGACTCCTTAAATCAACTTTTATTCCACTCCCAATTCCTGGTACATGGAGCACCACCTGATAATTCATTTCTTGTCAAATCTTTTATTTTGTGCAGTGAAGTTTAGGTGGCCTTTATTCTCAACAAATGAGTCTCCTGCACATTTCTCATTTTTGTTTTTTATGAATGATTTTCATTAAAAAAATCAGAAAAATGCTAACTTTGAACTCCACTCCCAATCAACAATCTTAAACCCTCAACATGGAACCCTTAGTTCACGTGGCCTTGGTACCCAGGATCTCCTGGTTTTCCTTCAAAGTCACAGTCCATGCATTTCCATTCTCCCATGTAGGGTTCTCCTCAGCTTCATGATTTTCAATGTGGTGGTACAAGGCTCACTGCTGTACCTCTTTTCCTATTTTCTTAGTGAACTGCCATGCAATACCCTGCACTACTTTGGGAATCTGTAGAGTCCCCATCAGAACAAATGCCCTCACCAGATGCAACCCCTTGAACTTGGAATGCTGAGCCTCCATAACAAACTTGTAATAAAAAGAGTCTTTTCTTTATAAATTACCTAGTTGCAGGTATTCTGTCAGAAACAACAGAAAACTAACAGATAAAATGTGAAAAAAATGTACATGAGAATTGAAGACACAAGCACATCTGAAAATGTTAAGAAAACAAATAAAAATAAATGTTAAAGAAGAGAAATGTAGAATTAGATTTGGGCTACATATAAAACAGATTCAGCAAAATAAAATATTGAGCTACACATGAGACACCCCACCTTGGAGATTATGTAATACAGTATTGCAGATGAGCCATCCTCAAGTCTGGGACTTGGGGGAAAAATTGCTAGAAACAGGTGAACACTTCCAACATCTAATGGGCTTTAATTTTCTTGGCTTCTACACTGTATGCACTGACACATCTTGCAAGATCTGATCTGGGCACTCTTCTATTGTCCATGGCTCTGCTCCTTCTTCTAACTTGACAATCACCTCAGCTTTGTTAATGCAGTGTTCTGTTAATGGGACATAATGTAGGACTTTGTACAACTGCTAAGTCTGATACTTGGAAGAATGGCAAGAGCTCAGCTTCAGAGGCTGTGCAACAGTGGCCAATTTGAACCTCGTGAGAAAGAGAGAGAGCACATTTTCAAGAAATGTAATCTTACCAAAACAGCATGAAGCCCTATAAATGGTTCCTATATTTATGAACAAAAAGAAGCTGTTTCTTCTGAAAGCTACTGGGGAGTTTTACTCACTCAGTGACACCAGGTTGCTGTAGGTCTCCAGCATCACATCCCTATACAAAGTCTTCTGAGCATCATTCAGGTCCTGCCACTCCTCCCAGGTGAAGTCCACAGCCACATCCTCAAATGACACCAACTCCTTTAATGACAGATCATTCTCAAGTCAATATTGCTAGGTAACAAAACAGAAATCTGGGAGTTCACACTTCTGTGTGCACATGTGTCTTACATAATATGCCATTTTTTTGTACTCCATAGAATGGGAGGAAGAAAAACCAAAGGACAAATATCCTGGTACTGTAATAAGTTATCAATTAATGAAAATATTACAAAACTTAGTTTATACCTTAATATCCTTGTTGCCAGTGATAAAAGTGTGAATAAAATTTTTCTTTTCCGAGGAGAGTATAAAATCATGAAGACCTAAGTATAAATACATAACTCAAATACTGTGTTAGATGAACAAATTTAAACACAAGCTCATTATAGTCTGGCGTAATAAAGAAATAAAAAATATACCTTTATTTTGTATTCAGTTTGCACTTCACCGATATGACAAAGATGTTAAACTCTCCCATGTGAACTGCATGGCCTCATGAATATGAGGCAACAGCAAAAGTCCAGTCATAAGAACACAAAGAACACACCCTACATTAATGGAACTACACACAGCAGAATGTCTGAATGAATGATCTTGGGTGGCATAAGAAAAAAACAATATTGAAACAAGTGATTATAGAATGATTCTGGACTTAAATATGGGACCTATTTCAAACAGTAAAATATTTTATGTAGTTAACGTTTTTTAATTATGTATGAATTAAAAGTACATAAAAAGGCATTCCAAATTTCCTTCACACGTGCCAAAGGATTGTTGTGTCCACACCAGGGTGTACACTACAACTTTCTATACCACAGGGAGCAAATAATGTGGTCCTGTAAGTACATAACTTTATTTGCATTTTAATAGTCATCCACGGACTGGCCCCGTGGCGCACTTGGGAGAGTGCAGCACTGGGAGCGCAGCAGCGCTCCCGCCGTGGGTTTGGATCCTATATAGGGATGGCCGGTGCGCTCACTGGCTGGGCGCGGTGCGGGCGACACCAAACCAAGGGTTGCGATCCCCTTACCGGTCACAAAAAAGGACAAAAAAAAAAAAAAATAGTCATCCACTACAAGGAGAATGGAAAAGGCTTATAGGGAGAGTGAGATGGAAAAAGAAAACAGGGTGACAGACCAACTACATTACAACATGGAGAAAAAAGCACACAGAAAAGAGACAACACTATAAAAAAGAAATAGGGAACAAAAAAGCAGAAAAAGAATGTGGTAGTAATTTGCTGTGCAGAAATTGAAGAGTTTTACTCTCAGGCTATCTACATAAGCAAAGCTTGGTATGTCCTGGCACTGCAAAGTTTGAAAAAATGGGAAAAAATGTAAAGAGCAAAAGTGAAACAGATTTGAATACATCATACTTGAAATAGCTGTGGAAATGTCCAAGTGGCAATTGGGTACATGATTCCAGCATTCAAGAGAGAAAGTTAAGCTGAAAATACAGATTTGAAAAGTATTAAAACTTCCATGTTATCTGAAGACATCAGAGCAAATGAACCTAAGAGGTTAAAAGTAAAATAAGAACAAGTACAGAATCTGCAGAAACACTTCATCTTTAAACGTAGGATAGAGGGGAAGAAAAAGTGGTATTACATCATAATATAGGAGTTAGTTCTCCCAGAGGACAATTCGTAATGTGTATGTGCCTTACAACAGATCATTAAACTATTTGACACCATGCCTAATAGAACTTCAAGGACAAATAGAAGAATCCACCATCAAAACTGGAGATTTCAACACCCTCTATCAAAAATGGACAAATATAGCAGACAGAAAACCATAAAAGACATAGTTAATAACATGTTAATAACATGATCTGGATATAATGGATATCTACAGACTACTTCTTTCAACAACAATAGAATAGACATTCTTCTCAAACTCACGTAAAAAAGACACTAAGACCACATTCAGAGCCATATAACATACTTAAGCAAAATTAAAATAATAGAAATCATACAATATGTGCTCTCAGACCACAAAAGAAATAAATTAGAAAGCAGTAACAGAGCAATAACTACAAGACCCCAAATAGAGTGGTATAAAACAACACACTCTAACACATGGGTAAAAAAAAAAAAAAAAAAAAAAAATTGAAAATATTTTTAACTAAATGAAAGTGAAAATGGGGCTGACTGGTTAGCTGACACCAAGTTGAAGGATTTTAATTCCTGTACTGGCCAGCCACCAAGAAAAAAAAAGTGAAAATGACAACAAAATTTATAGGATACAGAAATAACAGTGTTTTCAAAAAATTTTATGGCACTGGATGCATAAAAAAAACCTAACACACATCTAAAATCAATAATCTATGTTTCCACTGTTGGAATCGAGGGTGAAAAAATAGCTAGTTAAACTGAAAGGAAGGAGGAAAAAATAAATAAAAACTAGAACAGAAATAAAATTGAAAAAAAGTCTGGAGAAAAAATAAACATCTGAAAAACTGATTGCAGAGCTGGGGCTAGAGCTCACTGCCCCCCTCAGCCCATTATCCAGACTGGGTAACGAGCCCTTCACGTGCAGGTCTACAAGCTAGGTAACAGGAAAAGGTTCTTGGAGCCATGGGTGAAGAAATAATAGGCTTTATTTCTAGATGTGAGCTCTGCTGACCAGCAGTTCAGAACCACTGCCTCACACAGTGAAGAGCACACACAAAAATAGCAACAAGCAAAAGGATACATGGGCATGCATATGCACTAACTCTACTCCCACACAACTTGTTTACAAAGGATATGCTGCACCACACCCAGCCGGACCTGAGGCAAGGGGGCCTGACTAAACTATTTTCCTCACAATGATTCTTCAAAAAGATCAATACAATTGATAAGCCTATAGCCAAACTAACTAAAAAGATAGTGAACACAAAACAGAAATTACTAATATCAGAAATCAGAGAGGACATTGCTACAGATCCTGTGGACATCAAACAACTAATAAAATACTATGAGCAACTTTGTGCACACATTTGGCAACCTACATGAAATGGGCCAATTGCTTAAAAGACACAGTTTACCAAAAGATACACACAGAAACACACAATGTGAACAGGCCTGTATCTATTTTGAAAATGAGTAAACAATAATATTCAAAACAGAAGTGTTCACAGGAGATTCAGGCCAACATTTAAGGCAAAAAACATACCAACTTCCAAAACTCTATTGCAAAGAATAGAAAATGAAGTACTTCCCAACTCACTATATGAGGAGAGCATTACCTCAGTACCAAAACCAGACAATGATATGAGAATAGAAAACCACAAACTGCTAACTCTCATGAATGTACATGCAAATAAGATCAATAAAATATTAGCAAGCCTTATCCAACAATGTCTAGAGAGAAGTATGCACCATGACCAAGTGGTATTTAATTCAGGTAGGCAAGGGTGGTTCAACATATGTAACTCCAATTAATGTAATTGATAATATGAAAGCACTAAAAAGAAAAACCAAAAAAATCACAGGATCACATCAATAGATGCAGAAAAAGCATTTGAAAAAATACACCATCCCTTCATAAAAATTCTCAGTAATCTAAGAATAGAGGGGAACATCACAACTTGATAAAGATTATCTACAGGAAACTATACCTAACATCATCCTTAATGGTGAGAAACACAAAGCATTCCCAAATAATCAGGAACAAAGCAAGAATGTACCCTCTTATCCCTCCTCCAACACCACACTAAAAGTACTAGGTAGCACAACACAAGGAAATTGTGGAATATACTAACATTTATAAAGCAAATATATTTCACAGGGCCTAGTTTCCAAAGCCCTGCAGTTTCAGTTTTAGCCTAACTTTTTGGAATTACGTATAGAAATGTTAACCTTGCAGGCCAAGCCTGTGGCGCACTCGGGAGAGTGCCACACTGGGAGCGCAGCAGCGCTCCTGCCGTGGGTTCGGATCCTATATAGGGATGACTGGTGTGCTCACAGCGCTCACTGGCTGAGCGCGGTGCGGCCAGTCTCAAAAAGGACAAAAAAGAAAAAAAGAAATGTTAACCTTGCAGGCCAAGCCTGTGGCGCACTCGGGAGAGTGCCACACTGGGAGCGCAGCAGCGCTCCTGCCGTGGGTTCGGATCCTATATAGGGATGACTGGTGTGCTCACAGCGCTCACTGGCTGAGCGCGGTGCGGCCAGTCTCAAAAAGGACAAAAAAGAAAAAAAGAAATGTTAACCTTGCAAAAGATAGGAAACTCCCCAGGCTAAAGTCTCTGACATAGATAAAGAATTGTAACACAGCAAAGTTGCTGGCTCAAGGATAGACAAGTTACTTGACTGATATGTAAAAATACTGGGGAAATTGCTGCAGCGGAAAACACTGCTTGCTTAGATCAAGCTGTTGCTGGTGGATTGACTTAACCTTTTGCAAATTGCATTATGGAATGTCACTGTGTTATTTTGCTGATGTTACCAGCCTCTATTGTTAACCTATACTTAGCCATAACCCCACCTATGTTCCTTTTCAGTAACTTCCTGGCCTGGAGAATAAATGTGGGGAGAGAACACCAGTTCATGGTTAATTTCCTAAGGAAGGAATGCCTATCTCTTGAGGGTTCCAGGAAATTAATCCCTTCAGGTTTTCTCACTGCTCAGAAGAAATGGTTTTTGAGTAATACTTTTTGCATCACCATCATCCCATGTGATGCAAAGAAACAGGAAATAAAAGATTTACAGATTGGGAAAGAAATATATAAAGCTGTCATTAGTTGCAGATGATATGATTATCTGTGCAAAATATGCTAGCAAGTAAATAGAAAACTTCCTGGAGTTAATTACTGATTACAGCAAGACTGAAGGATACGTTAATATACAAAACTCAATCACTTCTATACCCAAGCAATAACAAAGTAAAATTTAAAACAGAAAACAATACTGTTCACATCAGCAACTCAAAAAGGAGAAAAGAAATTGAATATCATCTACCTCATAAGAAATTAACATCAAGAACACATTTTTAAAATGTGTACAACAAAACAACTAAACAAATAATCTGGTTAAAACATAAGCAAAGGTCTTCAACAGACATTTCTACAAAGATGATGTACCAATATCTAACAAACTCATGGAAAGATGCTTAACATCATTAACCATTAGAGAAATGCAAAACCACAATGAAATATCATTTCACACCCAATAGAAAATAACAAGTATTGGCAAAATTGGAAACTTTGTACACCTTATGTTAGTACGTAAAGTGATGCAGCCCCTATTAAAAAAAATAGTACAGTGATTTCTCAAAAAATCAAAAATAGAATTACCATAGGAATCATAAATCCAAGTTTTGTGCATATATCCAAAATAATTAATAGAATCTCAAAAAGATATTTCCACCTCTGTGTTCATAGCAGCATTACTCACAGAGTTAAGAGGTGAAAGCAACCCAAATGTTCAGCCATGAATGAATGGATCAATAAAATGTGGTATATACAACGAAGTAATATCTAACCTTAAGAAGAAAGGAAATCCTGACATATTCTATAACATGGAAGCTTGAGGACATTATGCAAAGTGAAATGAAACACTCACAAAATGACTATTGTATGGTTTCACTGATGAGTCAAATTTTTAGAATCACACAGTAGAAAAGTGGTTGCCAGAGGCTGGGAGAAGGGAGAAATTGGGACTTGTCATTTAATGGATATAGAGTTTCAATTTTCCAAGATAAAAAACTTGTGGATATCTCCTGCACAACAGTATCAATATGTTCAAACCTACATAAAGGTTAAGAAATGACTTAAATGGGAAATTTTATGCTATATGCTTTTTGCCAAAATTAAAAATGATTTATTTTAAAAGTCAATAGCTGACATGAAATATCTTTAAAAAAGAAATAATTGATAAAAATTTTTAAAAAATGAAAAGCAGAGGATTAAAAGGCAGAAGAGGCAAATACAAATAGAAAATAGCAAAATGTCACAGTTAAATTCAACCTTATCAATCATTACTTTAAATGGAATTGCATTAAATATTCTACTTAAGGCAAAGACTGTCAGATTTGATAGGAAAGTAAGACCCAAGTATGCTGTCCAGAGAACTACACTTTAAATACAAAGAAACAGACTAAAAGTAAAATAATGAAAACATATCTACTATAGCAAAACATTATGAAAAGATTAAGTGGAAATATTGATACCAGCAAAAAATATTCAAGACAAATTATATTACTAGAAATAAATGGAACACTGAAGGACGTGGGCCACAGTACCACCTACCATAACGTGGAAAATGGAAAGGGTATCTCACCATCTCACGTGTGTGCCAAAGGAGACTTTGGGGCACAATGGGAAAAGTGCAACCTGGCCTCCTCTCTCTGTCACTGAGAAAATAAAAGTATGTTCAATTTTCAAACAGAATTTAGATAAAATATGAAGGAGCCAGGACTTGCTGTGTTTGAAATAAAACTGTGTTTCGATCCATTTATGGACGGTAGCAAGGATCAAATCCAGTGTTTTCCAAAAAAGAAGAAAGACCAAAAATATTTCTAGCATTCTAAGTACTTTAGGGTCTGACACATAGATAGTGCCTAGTAAACAATAAAACTTCTAAGGAAATAGCCACCTTGGAGAGAAGGGGAGGTCAGAGAACAAATGGACTGACTCAGAATGTGTGGAGGTAGCATTGCTCTGATGTATTTTAGCCCAAGGAAAACCCATGTTTTTATGGCAGTGATTAAACCAGATAATTTCCTGTATCAAAAGGCCTGAGTCAAAAAAGAATTAAGAAAGGTTGCTAGATCTCCCAACATATAATAACCAGAAATAGGTAAAGAAAGTCAGTCAACTGCAAACCCAGGCATTTAAGGAAAAGAGATATTGACAGAGAAGGATGAGAGCCCAGAAGACAGTGAAGAGACACAAAGCATCTTTTCCAGGGACCAGGACTGGTTCCTAATGAAATACTAAAGCAGGTGTCTGAGGGGAATAAGTAACTACTCAGACCAGTGCTGTCACTTCTCACTAATCCTGTCTGAAGAAAAGTGGACACATCGTCATGCCCATCTGTTTTCTGTAAGCTGGGTGTGTATTAAAAAGATGACAGGACACTGGAGCTCATTTAGTTTGCTTTTTCTCAACTGCACAATGATAGGATATTTCTAGGGTTCTTGAGAGGGGCAAAGTATATTTTGCATGTGGTAGAAATTTATGGTCAGAGAGCAGACTGTGGTCTATTAAACAGTGCTGCAAAGTCTTGCTATTCCTTTTACTGAGAGGTGAAATCTAATTGCCTTTGCCTTGAATCAAGGCTGGTCTTATGTGCTTGACTAAGAGAATACATTGGTAGAGACGCCTTGGTGTCTGACTGGAGATAACAAGAATCCTTGCAGCTTCTGCCTGGGCCTCTTGGACACTTGTTCTGGCAGAAGCCAGATGAACGTGACTACCCTGAGAATGCCACTCTGTGAGGAAGTACAACATGGCCACAAAGAGAGGGCTGGATGTCTGCTCTATGTTTCCAGCCACTAGGATTTTTCTGGCTCAGAGCAGAGACATTGTGTAGCATCAAACCCACACCACCCTGTCCAGTTTACTGACCCAAAACATTGTAACATGTAATAAGATGTTCTTATTTTAAGCCACAAAGTTTTGTGATACTTTGTTGCATAGCAGATCACTGGAACACCAAAAAAATTATTAGAGACCTTAGGTAGTGCTTTGATTTGAAACATGAAGAGTGTAGGTTCACACTGAATATTAGATTCAAAACAAAGAATGAAAGCACTTCACATCTTATCTTAGGTCTCAAACTACAATTGTGAATGTAAATGTTCAGTTAACTGGTTTGTCAGTTTTTGTTCTTAACTAGCTGTTAGCTACACTTCCACTTTAAAAACATACTGATGACTAATGCACACATCCACTTTTCTCATTTGCTTATAAGTGATTACCTAAAATAGAAGAATAAAATACAATCCATAAGAAAGTTTAAAAACATGATGGGTCTTAAAACTACAAACAGATAACTGTATATTAATAAAAACTACAAATAGAATCACTGTTGTAAATTTATCAAAGCAAAAGGTAGACATTATGAGAATTTGTACTTTCTGTTTTTATTATCTCATGTCCTTCTATTTACCATTGTTCAAACATGTTCCAATAACTCTTGAAGACTTTCTCCCCATGGACTCCTAAGGATGTCACTACAGGTGCTGGCTAGAAGCATAGGTCACCAGGGACTGAACCTCATAGCCCATCAAACATTACCTTCAGGTTTTTACAAGAATGATATTTGCAATGGAACAAAGTTACTGTCTTTTGAGTACCAACATTTCCCCCTATACTGGCAGTGTATATAGAAATTAGAATAAAATGAAAAGACCAAACAAAGAAAAGTAACAGGAAGTAACACAAGTTAAATTAGACCCAAGAAACAGGGAGGAGTCCAGGAGAAATCTCATTTTGGTGACTTATGTCAGTGGTTAGGTGGTAGTGATAACACAAAGAAGAAGGGGAAGTGTTTTTAATTTTAGATTTGTTGACCTTGAGGTGATGTTTTGGTTTTTTCCCTGACAGCTGGCTGGTGCAGAGATCTGAACCCTTCACCTTGGTGTTAATACACCATGATCTAAACATCTGAGCAAACAAGCCAGCCCCTTGAGGTACATTTTGAATAGCTACAAACAAGCATTCAATACAGTCCTATGATCAAACGACTAGGGAAGAAGCACGACCTGGAGAGAAAGAAGAGTGCAAAATACAGAGGACTGAATCCGTGAAAAAGAATTTCACATGAGAAGAACAGGGTCCAGGATGAAGCACTTTGATAAGCTATGTTATAAAGAACAAACTGAAGAATTCAGGAGAAAAGAGCAAAAACCATCAGTGAAGTCATGAAAGAAACTAATTAACACAGAGGAAATTCCAGGAGAATACTGTGAACCATAGTTCCAAATGTAGGAGAAGCCTCAAGTTAGAAAAAGACTAGAGAATAGTTATTGGATTTGACTATAATTTAGGTTATAATTCTGTTTTATCTATGAATCTTAGTACAGTCTTCTAAAGCCATCTGGACCTAGATTAACTTTAGAAACTTTATAAAAACCTTACTAAGCAACTTGTGCCTTAGAACCAGGTAACTATTTTCACTGCAGAAAGCAAGAAATGTTTATTTCCAGGTAAGCAGTGAAAAACTTTCTGACATTGATGGTGTTGCAGAATTTGGTGCCATCAAGTCTTCACATTCCTATAGAATTTAGCAGATTCTCTTCTCAGGTTCCATTCCAGTCACGTAAACAAGGTGTCTGCCTCCTTTCCATGACATCACAAAGACTAGAGAAAAATTTTCATACAACTGAGATGACTCTGAGGTCTTACAAAGTGCTATATCTATGTGTTAACTTTATCTTATGAATGTACATTTCTTCCAAGTTGAGTTCTACTCATTTGTACTTTTCAATTTTAATTTACACATTCCATAAAGCTCATGTAATACAACAAAATAAGAGTGAGTAATAAATAACCAAAAAACTTACCAGAGATTTATTAATCTTTTGTTGCTCTTGTAAACCCATAGCACACTCTGGCAGCATAACTGGGAGCAAAGAGAATGGAGTGGATTAAGGAGAGAACTGTTGTGGCTTGGCTCTAGATTCTCCTTCCCAAAACTACTTATTAGCTGAAAAAGACAAATAAGCAAAAAGCCTTCCTGTGAGAGAACAGTCCTTCATGCCTCAATAAGGGGCAACATGGACCCCATTAAAGATGCAGCTACAAGTACATTAATAGCAACACTTACACAATTTATTTTGGGGTCAGTGAAAACATACATAGCCTACTGACTTAGCATGAATCAACATTACCTAAACATATAACTTAATACCTTAAACCAAAGAAAAACACATTGTGACATCACTAAAATTAGAGTTGTAGAAATAGTTTGGCTATATTAACTGTTACACTATTAATATGTTAAGTTCACATGATTCCAGAAACATGTTTCCATTACAACACATCTTCCTTTTATGTACCTAAATATCTGGATAGTGTGCATCTTGTAATCCAGCACATGTTGCCCATGATTATATAGGTAAAAAAATACACATAACGTATATTTCTTCTGGTACACTGATCTCCCTGTACCCAAGCCCTCATACAGCATGCTCTGAGAATAAACTAGTCCTTGTTGTGTGACCTGCTTTGGACAGTGGCATGTTAGAAAATGTCACACAAACATAGGTTTGAAAAGTACTGGCCATTGGTGCTTCTCTCTTAAACATAATCATACTGTGAAGAAGACACAGGGCCCAGCCAAGGGTTGGAATAAACCACAGGATGTGTGAGTGAAGTCATCTTTAACCAAACAGCCTCAGTCAAGACACCAGGTGACTAAATCCACATTTGTAATGAAGGGAACACTAGAATGAGAATAGCCCGGCTAAATGCACCCTAAGATGTGGATCCATAGAACTTCAGAAAAAGAGAAAAAGATGGCTGGGTTTTATAAGCCACCGGGGTTTGATTTGTTTCTTACATAGCGAATGCTGAATCATACACCTAAGTCCCCCAAATTCAAGACATATGTAACAAAATTATGTGGGGGAAAAAAGTCTTAACTTATAAGTCAAATACATTCAATACACCTTCACAACCACAGGTAGAAGTTTTGAAAATCACAATGAATGTTAACTACATGTATTTCAGTGAAGTTTCTAGCCCTAACAGAGGCTATGTAAATCATCAAAAACAATTATTTTCACATCAGTAAATTAAGTTGTAAGTTTTGTTTTGTATTGGTTTTTACATCACATACAAGTTGTTTACTTTAAAGACTTACAACTTAAAAACAGTTTTCCTTATAAGTGAGTAATGCACTCTACCAGGGTACTTTCAAAACTTTTGGGGAAAAATAGAATGAAAAGAGAATAGAAATCTTTCCATGAACTTTTTGAAGCACACAAACTTTTTTTTTTTTTTTTTTTAAAGATGACCGGTAAAGGGATCTTAACCCTTGGCTTGGTGTTTTCAACACCACACTCAACCAGTGAGCGAACTGACCATCCCTATATGGGATCTGAACCCATGGCCTTGGTGTTATCAGCACCACAGTCTCCTGAGTGAGCCATGGGCCGGCCTGAAGTACACAAACGTTTTAATTACATTTAAGAAATTGGTTTTGAGTAGAAGGGAAGGGCAGCCTAATTTCCCCATTTTAAGTAATGTAAAATTGCCTCCAATATATTCCTGCAAAAGTTATGATTTTAAAGAATAGCCCCCTGACATTAAGTGGGAAATATATATATATTATCTACCCTTTGAGGTGACATAAACCAAAGAAAGTACTGGAGTTAAAAAAAGATAGACATGCTTAAGGCAATGTATGTTAAAGCAATGTTTGCTCTAAATTGACTTCAGCATTACAAAAATAATCTCAGAAATGAAAAAACATTTGTTTTGACTTAAATGTGGCAACATGGAAAATGCTAGCGAAAAAGTCAGGATGTGTAAGATCAACAAATCATGTGATCCTGGGTAAGTCACATTCCTTCAAATCCACTTATTTACACTTTTCTTACAAGGTAGAAATATGGGGAAAACCATTCCTGAATGACCAGAAAAGAACTGTGAAGACAGAGAATCATCAGCACATCTCCAAATGCCAAATTTGGTGATAGGCTGGGTTTGAGAGCTCAGACACTGGGAACAATGAGGGAAGATTGAAGGAATGGGAGTGTGGTCAGAGAGCACTGCAGACAGATCCTCTCAGCTGTGACAGGTTATTACTGCACCCCATGGAACACCTTCAAACCCTCTTCAATAAGTAACACCTCCTGGTCCTTGCCTCTCTTTCTCAGTCTGATTCACTTCTCCCTTCTGAAAGTTGGCCCAAACCTTCCGATACCGTCCAGCCTCAGATACCCATTGAATGAGGTATTATCAGCCAACCCTGGTGCGATCTAAGCACTAGACACAATCACTGTTTAGACTGTGCAAAGCTCGGATCCTCACTTTCTGGGACTCTTTTGCCTCTGCCCTGAAGCAGTACTGAGGGGGTTCTGGCCACAATGATGCTCTCCCAGGTAGGATTCCTATTCACAGGACACCGTCCATCAAAGTCTGTCACACCTCCTTCATTCCAAAGAAAATGGGACCAACATCCAGTCCCCCAATCTCCTTCCTAGAACTCAATGTCCTGGAAACAAGGTTGTGTATCAACTTCTGTAAATTCAAACCAGGAGCGCTAGGCAGGCCGCACAGTGCAGGAGGGACCAGAAACGTGACTTGCTTAAGAGACACCGAGCCACCCCACGACCGCAGAAGCCACAGAGTGACAGTCCGCACACACCTCACAATCCCAGATTCACCTCTGGGATCTGGAGCATCACGCTAATGTCCACACGCTCGCGGTACAGATGGTGAAGTGAACGTCCCATAGGTCGGTACCAGGTTCCTGATGGGGCAGCTCGAACGTGACCTCCCCACACCTCCCAGGCTCGCTGTCTTCAGACATCCCCACCCACGTTCCCGTCGCCACCTGGGACCTGAGCAGCCATCCTGGGACATCTGGAACCGGCTTCTGCACACCCCGCAGCGCCCGCCCTCCTTCCGGCAGCGCCGTCCTCTGATGGAACCGTCTGGAAAGCGCAGCTCGGGAGCCCCTTCCCCGGCCCGGCCCAGGTCCGCGCTCGCCCCGCACGTCAGGCCCCACCCGCCTGAGGCCCACAGCGCTTCTGCCTGCAAAGTGCGGGGACACCGTCTGCTCCCCGGGGCCCCCGAGGCCCGCGGGCTCCTCTTTCACCCTGGCGCTCACCCTCAAGGACGCACAATCCAACCCCAGGATCTGAGGAGCAGCGCAGGGACGTCCGGGACATCCGGAATTTCCAGACAAAAAAATGGCGGAGTGGGCGATCCACACATGCGCAGAAGAAACCCAGAAAGCCCTTCCCGTAGTCCTGCGCAAGTGTCATCATTGCAGAGGGAAACTACATTTCCCAGATGGCAGCGCGAACAAAGCCGCTTGTGTAGAGAAGGAACTTGGAGCAGCTGTTTGGTGCCCCTGTGCTGGTGACGTCACTGGAGGACAAACTACATTTCCCAAAAGCCTCTGCTGTCATCCTTTAGGGACTGAAGGAGAAGATTTTGTTTATTTTCTCAACAGGGATTCCTGCTACCAGGAGAACAGGACCTGATGGATCAAGACTGGTCTCTTTCCACGTTATTACGAGGTGGAATTCTGATTCTTTACTAAATCCTGGTTTGACAACCTGAGGCACTGTGAGAAAAACAGGGAAATTCGAATATTGGCCAATTACAGCATGATATTAATAAGTAATTTGACATTTTTAGTTGTCGTGTAGGTATTGCTATTCTAGAACCCACGTTTATTTTTGCAGATGCATTTTAGAGGATGAAAAAATCATGCACCTATTTTCCTTTAAATGGTTAAACAAGCGAGAAATTTATACGGTAGCTCTCTTCCAAACCATTAGAAAACGTTTGTTCTCGGGCCGGCCCATGGCGGACTCGGGAGAGTGCAGCACTTGGGAGCACAGCGGCGCTCCTGCCGCGGGTTCAGATCCTATATACGGATGGCCGGTGCGCTCACTGGCTGAGCGCGGTGCGGGCAACACCAAGCCAAGGGGTGCATCCCCTTACTGGTCAAAAAAAAAAAAAAAAAAAAAAAAAAAAAAAAAAAAATGTTTGTTCTCATCCAATACACTAATTTGTGTATCTTCAATGTATTGTACTACACAGTTGGAAAAGGTTTGTCCCTCTCTCCCAGATAAAGAACTGGTTATTATTACAATCTATAGATGTGACCCCATTAAATTCTAAATTTTAATCCTACAGCCATTGCAGGGCAATGAGCCATGTTTTTGCCACCTGAAACAGACTAACACTAACCAGACTCATAGTAACCCAGCTAATGTGAGACCTTGGTTTCTGTCTCATGTTGTGAACACCCCGTTTTCCCCATGGGTGTCCCTATATTCTTACTACATACCACTTACTTTGCAGCAAGGACACCTGATACAGTGTGTTTCATATTAACACTTCATGCACTTTAGGATTCATATTTTGAGGCTTGTCTGTACACAGAAGTTTTAGTTCTATAAATCGGCAAGGCTGGTAATTAAGATTCAGATGGGAGTTCCAAAAGGAGGTCACCTCGATCACTCTGATCCTAGAGAATCTGGTTCATGTCTCTCCTCTAGCTTCTGGGAGTGTGCTGACAATCTTTGACATCCCTTGGGTTGTAGAATCATCACCCTAATGTTTGCCTTCATCTTCCCATGTTCTCCCCGTGTAGTCTGTACACAAATTCATCCTGTTTATGAGGACATCAGTCATACTGGATGAACTAATTATAACTGCAATGGCAGTATTGCAAAATAACATCAGATTCTGTGGTGGTGTGGTTTAGGACTTTAACATATAAATTTGGGGGAAGGGCAAACACAATTTAACTCATAATAGAGACATCACTAACTTCAGCAGAAGCTATGAATGGTAGCACCTCCTCTCTAAATGGAGTATAGACAAGTCTCCTGTTGGTATGAACAGAGACAGCCCATCACATTACTCTAGATTTCATATTGGCTACTTGTATGGGTTTGCTTGGGCTGCCATACAAAACACCACAGACTGGGCAGCTTAAACAATGGAAATGTATTTCTCCCAGTTCTGGAGGCTGGATGTTGAAGATCAAGGTGCTGGCAGGATTGATTTTCTCTAAGGCAGTCTCCTTGAATGGCAGATGTTTGCCTTCTCTCTTCCTCTTCACATGGTCATCCTCTGTGCACAATTACCCCTGGTGTGTCTACATATGTCCTAATCCCCTCTTGTTTTAAGGACAACAGTCAGCTTGTTTTAGGGCCCAGACTGATTTTAACCTAGCCACCTCTTTAAGACCCTATCTCAATATGCTGTCACCTTTTGAAGTTCCTGGGTTTAAGATTGCAAAATAATTATTTTGGGGGAAGAAGAGGAAAGAAATTAGCCCATACAGTAGTCAGGGTGGTGTATGTGTCATTACTAATATTTAGATAGATTATGACTACGCCCATCCACTCAGATATCTGCCAGGCACCTTAGGCTGGGTAAGCCATATCCTGGACTGAGATATGGACTGAGATGCACACTTTTGTTGTTACCCCTCTCCTGGAGATGGCACTCTTCTCTCAAGCAGAAGTCTTGTATACCCAGATCGCCACACTTCCCTACCTCCCACAAAGTGGTTGCTGCTGAGTTTCTCACTAGACAAATGTCTCCTCTTTCTTTTTTTACAAACTGTCTGTGTTCTGAGAAGTTCATGAGATCCTGGTCTAACAAGATCTTGCATGGGGGTGGAGGGTTCCATTGGGCAGGACTGCTTCCTGGGAAGATTGGTGGCCTACCCTTCAGGATCTATTCTCTATGGCTTCCCTGCAACCAAGTGCCCTTGACTCAGAGTCATACCCTGTGTCTTTTTTTTTTCTTTTGTGACTGGTAAGGGGATCAGAACCCTTGGCTTGGTGTCATGCGCACTGCACTCAGCCAGTGAGCGCACCAGCCATCCCTATATAGGATCCGAACCTGCGGCCTCGGAGCTCCCAGCGCCGCTACACTCCCAGCGCAGCACTCTCCCGAGTGAGCCATGGGTTCGGCCCCATATCCTGTGTCTTAGAAAGGACCATCTTGGTTTACATAAATAGGGCCTTCCCCCCAAGCATCTCTCCTCACTTGCTTATGCCACTCCTCACTGGTCAGTTCAACCTCCAGGCCCTTCTACACTTGGAAGGTTCTGGTGCTCCAGAAGACTTGGGTCCTGGACATGCAGGACAATGGTGGCCAGTTGGGCAGTGGAGTTTTGTTGCTTTGTATTGCTTTGCCCCCCACAGATTTGTCACCCTTCTTTCCCTGGGTGACAGAGATGCAAAGGATTACTCAAAGCCCATCTCTTCTGAGCAGTGAGAGGCCCCAAAGTGGTTAACTCCTTTGGAAACACTCAAGCAAGACGCATCCCTTCCTTGGGAAATTAACCCCAAATTGGGGTTCTCTTAATGCATACATTTTCCAGACTAGGAAGTTACAGGAAGAGAACATAGGTGGGGTTATAGTTTAACAATATAGGCTGGTAACTTTCAGTGAAATGAGCCAGATGACATTCCTGTAAGGCAATTAAGTGGTCCTATCAACACAAGCTTGATCTTAGCAAACATTCCTTCTCCCTCCAGAAATTTTCCAGTATCTACACATATCAATCAGTAACCTGTCTGTCCTTGAGCCAGCAACCTTACTGTGCCACAAATCTTTGTCTTACAAAAGAGACTTTGTAGCCTAAAGAAAATTTCCAGTCTTCTGCAAGGTGAATATTTGAAACTTCAAGGCTTTGGAAAACCAGGCCCTGTGAAGTACATTTGCTTTAAGAATATTCCACAGAGTTTCCACCTACAAAGTGGATGTGCTGAGGCTGGACTTCACTGGACAGTGATTACATCAGGCATGGTGGGATGCAGAAGTCCTGTGTGCCTCTCACCATGAGTTAAACATGGACTTGGGTCCAAGAACAGAGCCTGTCTAATTGGATCTTTCTAGAATGGGAATCTGTGCTCTGAGGACATCTGAACCTCAGCGTGACTAAAATGGCCCTCAAGCTCGTTACTTGAATCTGACCCTGTCAGTATCCCCTTCTTCAGCCAGCAAGACCAGCATCTAATCACTCAATGGAGACAGAAGTCCAGATTTTATCTCCAGCATCTCCTTTATCCTCACTGTCCACACCTGTACAGTCACCAATTCTGCCCTAAAAAGCTTTTTTCCATACATAAATTTCTCATTTTGGCCACTGTCATTGGAGGTTGGGACGATACCAACTTCCAAATCGCCTTGCATCTAATTCTTTTTTTTTTTTTTTCTTGTCAGCTGGCCAGTAGAAGGATCAAACTTTGGACCTTGGCATTATCAACAAAGTGCTGAAACCAACTAAGCTAACTAGACAGCACCTTACATTAATTCTTAACCCTAACCTCTGACACCTAATATTTAACCCCTCACCCTTTCCCTAACACACCATAATCCTCAACTCAGTAAACTAAGCCTAAGCCCTAAACCATAAACACAACCTATCACCATAATCCTTAACTCCTAACAGGTTTACATATTACCTATCACTAAACTCTAGCACTTAACTACAATTCCAACTCTAACCCCTAAACACAACCATTTCCCCTAAACTGAAACTCAACCCTAACACTAAATGTAAACCTTGAAGTCTAATAATGTCTTAACACTAACCTCTCAATCTAACCCCAACAGCAAGCCTATCGTTAACCACTAACACTAACTCTAGTACTTAACCCTACCCCAATTGTAACATTAATCTCTAACCCCAACCTACTTAACCCCTAACCACTAATCCTAACCCTGCTCCCTAAAACCAACCATAATCTCTAGTCCTAACTGCACCCCCTAATCCTATCTCCAACCCTTCTCCCTAATTCAACCCAAACCCAAACCTCAACATCAACAGCAACCCTGACCCTCACTCTACCCGGGTGGTGTTGGGCTCTGGCAGTGGCATCGGTTTCCTCCTTTCCCAAGGCTCGCCTGGTATTTTCCACACACGAGTCTCCTGTTGGCCCCTGCCCTCCTGCCTTCTTTCCCACCTACCTTCTGTCCTTCACCTTCACAGAACCCATTCATGCTGCATTCTTTCTGCTCTGACCCCAGAGCACCCCTGGTCCTGACATGAGCACCTGCTCGTTCACTCGGAGAGGTCTGTGCTCCTCTGACACCTCCTTGGGTTTACTTTTATTCCTATTATCACCAGCAACATGGCCATTGCCATTGTTAAAATCGTCACTGTTGTAATTATTACCATTTTCATTTTTGTCATTGTTGACCAATTAT